TTAGTTCGTCCCCCCTTCGGGATCTTACTTCGATACATCACCCTTCGAACCATACCGGACATGTCAAGGCTGAAATCTATTTCGACCGTATACAAAAGGAGATACTCAAGCTGCAGAGTTAATCAGTCAGGTAACAGTGAACATACAAGGACCTAACATTTGGCATTACTCTTCTAGCTTACTTAGAAGAAAAGGAAAAATCTATATTGGGGCTAATGGTGGTGTCAGAACTCAGCTGATCTCAACATTTCATGACTCTCCTATATAGGTGGACACTCAGGACAACTAGGAACGCTTAAGAGGTTGCCACTGATGTTTTACTGGCCCAAGATGAAACAGATGGTCAATGACTTTGTGTCTAGCTGTGATGTTTGCCTTAGGAGCAATGATGACAATATGGCATACCCTGGTCTCCTGCGGCCTCTCCCCATTTCAAATCAAGCGTGGAGCCATATTAGTATGGACTTCATAGAAGGTCTTCCTAAATCCCCATTATAACCAATTATAACATGAGTGTCCACCTAGAGGAGAGTCATAGAATGTTGAGATCAGCTGTGTTCTGAGACCACCACGCAACAGTGATCTCAAGCATGAAAAATCTTGCATGTTCTCGTAATGCCATGGATGTCGTTCCAAATTATCCAATGGTAGAGGTATTCAGAAGTCGAGCTCGAATTAGCCATCGATACCATGAAATCGGATTATCTAAAAGGACCTGGCGATTTTAGAAGCTGGCATAGCTTGGAGGCTCACATGCAATGGCATTGCTGCATACCAAGGGACTAAAGCAGGATTTTCGTAAGCTTGAAGTACAACGTGATATTTCACTTGTTATAAGTATTTGGATGCATTGAAGGATGAATATGGTGTACCAAAAATCATGGTGGAATGAGAAGAACAATGGAATGATTCAGCAGGAGGGTAGAATAACTTGTGTTTTGATGGATCATGAAGAGGAAGATAATGCGTACTGATCTATTTATATATATAGTTAAATTAACTTTTACGCACTGATAATGTAAAAATTATTTACATAAAAGTCATTTAAATGGTAATTGCAACTAACTTATTTTTTTAGCATTTATTGGTAATCTAAAATAAATGGTAAGTAACCAACCTACTATAACATATTATTAAATTATACTAATGGTATAAAAAAATTATTATATAGCTTAAATCTTTTTTCTTTTCAGTTGACCAACTGTAATTTTCTTTCAAATATAATGTAGAAAATTATAGCAACTTGTTTATATCTAATTAAGAAACATTTACTTTTTCACTGTGATTGGAGGTGATCTAAAAAGGTTTTGTTTCTACGGTATGATCCAAGGTGCAAGTAGGGGTGGGCATAAAATCCGAAAAATCAAATTTCAAACCGAATCGAATTAATTTGGTATTTCGGTTTCGATTTTTTCGGTATTTCGGTACAGAAATTTCGGTATTTCGGTACGGTATTCGGTATTAAGTTTTTGATATTTCGGTATACCGAAATACCGAAATATTTAAGTTCAAGCCCACTTATATTTTTATTTTCCAGCCCAATAAGCCTAAGCCCAACACCCCAAGTCCCCTAAATCCTAATTCCCTAATCCCTTAGCGGGCCTAGCAATCTCCTTAGGCTTAGAGACTTACCGATAGTAGTTTGAGAATTTAAAGAATCACTGTTTTTGGGGAATATACACCATCAATTCCATTTCTCTTCTCTGATTGATTTGGCAATCAAAACAGTGTCACCGAACTAATTATTCTTGAAACAATGGCTTTGAATTTTCCTTTGAGTGGTTGAATTCTCAGCAGAAGTCATAAGATATGTTAGGCAATAGGCAATTAGGCATAGCATAATCTTGGAAGATTTGAAAGATTTTGGTATAATACCGAAACCATATCGAAACCGAACCAAATAAGAAAATACCGAACCGTATCGAACTATTTTGGTACGGTATTTGGTATGCACAATTGATATACCGAATATCAAAATATCGAACCGTAATTATTAAATACCGTACCGAAATACCGAACGCCCACCCAGGTACAAGATCTGATTGCAGTCATTTAATTCTGATTTGTCGTAAAACTGTTTTAAGATCTTGACCTTTATTGTGTGTTTCAACTTATAAGAAGAAAGTGATCATGTCTCTCCGTCCCTTTCTTTTTTGTTAAAATGGCATATGGATGATGCAGCCAGCTGTATCGAAGTACGCATTTTAAAAACAGGATTTTACAAATTTTTTCATTCTCCAATAAATATATGTCCATTATCCGTTCGTCGAAGCAAGCTAAGGCTGTGGACGCACGAGTAACTTTCATTCCTAATATTAAATGTACCTCGATTTTTTTTGTTTTTTTTATCTTAACAAGCTAAGGCTATGTTGATACAAATAAGGACGAAATAAAATCAAAATCTCTTATATTGGCTTCTATTTTTCCTTGAAAAAGAACTAAAGATCATCATCTTCATGATCCATTAGAATCCAAGATCCATCTTGCTGTTGAACCATCCCTTTGTTCTTCTCAACCCACCACGATGCTGGTACACCATATTCATCTTTTAACGCGCCTAAATACTTGTTAACAACAGAAATATCGTGTTGCACTTGTAGCTTAAATCCTCCTTTTGATCCTTGCGTTCCAGCCACTCCGTGCAAGTAACAGTCCATATTATGCCAACTGCTCTCATCTCCTGGACTTTTTAGATAGGTCGACTTCGTAGTATCAATGTCTAATTGAACACCAACATCAGAGTAACCAAGCAATGGGTAGTTTGGAACTATATCTGGGGCATTTCGGACTCTTAGAGTTCGAAGATTTTCGAGTTTGGAGAATGTTTTCTTCAAATTTTCATCTCCCACCCTAGGACTTGCAAATAGAAATGCAGTTACTGGAAAGCCCTTGTTAAATCCATTGAAAACCATATCCACTGCATTTAATGTCGCGACTGCTGCTCCCATGCTATGCCCTGTTACTGTTATGGTAATTTCCTCATTCTTGTATTGCTCTACCAATCTTTGAACTTCACCGAGCACCTAATTAAAAAGAGAATCCAAAGATTATTAATACAAGTACGAACTTATTTCCTTTTTGGTTCATTTAAAAAAAATGACTCTTTTTTAATTTTAAAAATAATTTAACATAAACTTTCATTTTTACTCGCAACGAGAAGTTTTTATAGCCATACAAATATTCTTCATGTTTAACATAGCCACACAAATATTTTTGCTTGTTTATTAGGACTATAAGTTTTAAAAATCTTCATTTTTTTAAAACTTTATACTCAGTCAAATAAGTTCATATTATGAGAGCAGGAGTATTTTTTGTTTTACATGATTAATTAATACTTAGAAACTGAATTATTAGCCCTTTAAGCAAACAAAGAAGTCTCATTTCTTGTAAGAGGAAGATGAATTTACCTGGTTTCTTGCACTAGCCTTACTGAATGGTGATCGTGAATCATTAGAAGTATAAACGGAATACCAACCGTGATGAACTTTAGGAATAGATTTTTGATGACCAAAGATTTCAGGGGCAGAGACTTGAATAAAATCAAAATCGTTAAACCATTCCATAGTCTGTACACTTCCTCTCCAAGAAATTACTATATCCCTCCTTCCTAATGCGACTTCCCCTTCATCAGTAGCAACAGCAACAAAACCAACCCAATTTGACTCCTTGCTCCAAGCTTCCCTTGACAAAGATTTTATGATCAATGCTTCTGGAACTTGGACAGATGATGTCGCGTAAATATATTTGGTCACCTCATATTTGAAAGGATTGGACATCTCAATCCCAACTTGAGATAAGAGGTTCTTTTTTGAGTATCTGCAACTTCCTGCATACTTTGATATTTTGTTGGTGTTAAAGGCGTCTCGAGTTGCTTGTGCCATTCCTCCATAGTGAATGATGTATCGGCGAAGATCATTGTCTAATGGATCTAATAAGCCTTCCCAACTGTTATTCCCACTAAGAAACCTCCATCTTTCTGCTATATTGCCCATATCCAGGTCTGCACTTTGCATCTTCTCTAAATTGAAAAGGAGAAGAAGAAAACAAAAGGAGAAAATAGGACTTTGCATCTTCTCTATTGGTTTTTTCTTACTCTGGAACATGTTCCTCTCCTGTGGTATGTCCGTTAGTTATTCTTCTATTTAAATACCCTCTCCTATAGGTTGGGAAAACGTGTCGTTTAACTTCCTTGCTTTTATGAATTTTACAAAAATGAGTACCGTTTTTGGGTCATACTCCAGAATACGGCCGGCCATACCATTGAAAGTTCTGATTTATATCCGTTTTCGAAAAAACATCTTGCAATATTTAAATTTTAATTTGAATGATTCCTTAACTTTTTAAGGCATTAGTACTGCAGATCTAACACTTGAATACTTAAATCTCACATGATTTTTGACCAAACATTATAAATGTTCTTCAGGTTTCAAATGATATTGTACAACTAATATACTTATTAGTTTAATTTTACTTGTTATAACAGATTAAATTCTTTTTACTCCATCCAAATATAAAAGTTAAACTAGTCTAAATCAATGATATTGAAAGTTATTTGGTGCAATAGTTTCGTGTTTTCGAATTGTATAGGCGAATCCTTCCCACTATTTCCTTTTCATTTTTCCAGTGTTCACATCTGATAGCCTTTTTCCGTCTGGATAAAGATTATATCAATCATTTAGCTTGAGAATTTCGGCTTTTGCCTTTTGTATTTCCATTCCACACTCAGGCTGTCATGCCGACATTATTAACCAATTTTAAACAGAAATTTCTCTCATTTCTTTTCGTCTAAATTTTCACTCAAACATATAAACTCCTAATTTTTGTACCTCTTTATTTTTCTGTTAGTTTTCCTCTTTATCCATCCAATTTTCTCGAAAGGACCTAAAAGATACCGGAAAGAAAAGATTGTAAAAAAGAGGAAGGGTTAAAATTTTCTGCATTAAGTCAAACAGACAACGTGGTGGTTGGATGATTGGATCAAATAATAGTAACCAATGGGAAAAAGAATGGGAAATGCTTGCCATTTTCACAAGACAAGACAAGAATTCCCATATGTTTGTCAATCTAGTATCTTCTTCTGCATGTTTATTGATTGTGGCCATTGCTCAATGTTGTTTTTGTGCAATGAACGTCACTACGTTCACATTTAAAATTCTTTGCTCAATAATCTCTACTTTGATTTTTAAGAAAAGTTAAAAGTTCTTCAACGCTAGTCAACGTCATGATCCATGGAGGTGGGGTGGCAAGTTTGTCATTGCTTCGAAGCATATATAGTTGCTTATACATTAGAGTATCCAATGATATATTAAGCTCCAAACTTTTTTGTGTTTGAGTATTTTTTTCTTTTTCAGAAAGAACAATTTTCTGTTACACATAAAAACAAGAAATATGGAAACAATTTCAAAGAATTGGAGTACAAAATGACTTATATTTCATCTTTGTATACGGTTAAAACCGATCCTCGGTCATGAAGATCGATCGAGGATGGCATTTCAATCAAGGGGTATCTTCACGGAGACCCCGAACGAATTCCGAGATGGGGGTGTCGAGCTCGGGGCGTACGAATCGACCGAGGTAACATCGACCGATACAAGTCCCGAACATCGATGCCCGAAATTGATCACCTAGCTCGAAACCAAGGCCGAGGTTCCGATCCGATACCGAGCTCGAGTCGGTATCGAGTTCGCAGACAAAAAACTGTTACAACCGCACCAAAGGAGAGAATCTCTCTGGGAATTAAGGAGGAGACACACCATCATGGGTCCTCCACTAGTAGTATTATTCCATCATGTTGCTATAGATAAAGTAGTGATCCTTGGCTATAAAAGGCAAGATAGATTGTAATAGAAGGCACCTTCGTTGGGATTAAGAATTCATTGTGTTTATCTTTCTAAAGCTCACTAAATATCTTTATTCATCATCTTCTATTTTTGCACCATAAATACGTGTNGAATTCTATCGATTCTTTTGCCACGTTAGCAGATTCGTTCGTAAAAGCACATGCTGGTGCCATAAAGGTCACAACGAGGAAATCGGATCTATTCAAAGTAAAACAAAGGGGTGATGAAATACTGAGGGAATTCGTATCCCGGTTTCAAATGGAACGCATAGATTTGCCACCAGTCACGGAAGACTGGGCCGTACAAGCTTTCACCCAAGGGTTGAACGGACTGAGTTCGACAGCATCACGTCGGTTGAAACAAAGCTTGATCGAATACCCTGCAATAACTTGGACGGATATACACAATCGGTATCAATCGAAAATCAGGGTCGAAGATGATCAATTGGAATTTCCGTATGAACCCACGCGTCAGAACCGCGCAACCACTAAAATTCTGAAGGAAACCAACAGAGAACAAAGGTCAAACAGAGACCGACACCAGTTGTACGTCACAGATCGGGTGAACCACGGTTCGGCACATGAGACAGTTAGGAATAACCGCAGGTATGATCGGGGGCAAAATTCTCGGGGACTTATGAGCAAGAGAGGCTTTGATAAATATGCCGATCCTATAGAAGTTCCTCGATTATCGGAATATAACTTCAACATCGATGCATCCGCCATCGTATCGGCTATCGGACGCATCAAAGATACAAGATGGCCTCGACCCATGCAGACCGATCCGGCCCAAAGGAATCCCAATCAAATATGCGAGTATCATGGCACCCATGGTCACAAAATGGAAGAATGCAGACAATTAAGAGAGGAAGTAGCCCGCTTGTTTAACAAAGGGCACCTTAGGGAATTTTTGAGTGATAGGGCGAAGAACCATTTTAAAAACAAGGACTTCGGCAAGCAAAACGAAGAAGAAGAACCACAGCACATCATTCACATGATCATCGGCGGCGTCGATACCCCTCAGGGACCTATGCTCAAACGCGCTAAAACGTCGATTGTGAGGGAAAA